GCTAAGTTAGGTTAGTGTTAGGTTAGGTTAGTGCTAAGTTAGGTTAGTGCTAAGTTAGGTTAGTGCTAAGTTAGGTTAGTGCTAAGTTAGGTGAGTGCTAAGTTAGGTTAGTGCTAGGTTAGGTTAGTGCTAAGTTAGGTGAGTGCTAAGTTAGGTTAGTGTTAGGTTAGGTTAGTGCTAAGTTAGGTTAGTGTTAGGTTAGGTTAGTGCTAAGTTAGGTTAGTGCTAAGTTAGGTTAATGCTAAGTTAGGTTAGTGCTAGGTTAGGTTAGTGCTAAGTTAGGTTAGTGCTAGGTTAGGTTAGTGCTAAGTTAGGTGAGTGCTAAGTTAGGTTAGTGTTAGGTTAGGTTAGTGCTAGGTTGAGTTGGTGCTAAGTTGGGTTGGTGCTAAGTTGGGTTAGTGTTATGTTAGGTTAGTGCTGGGTTGGGGTTGAGTGCTAGAATTGGGTTGAGTGCTAGTTAGGTTAGTGTTGGGGCTGGGTTAGTGCTAAGTTGGGTGTGCTAGGTGGGTTAGTGCTAAGTTAGGTTAGTCTTTAGGATGAGTTGGGACTGCTAAGTTGGGTTGAGGTGCTGGGAGTTGGGGTGGAGTGCTAGAGATTGGGTTGGTGCTAGAGGATTGGGTTAGTGCTAGGTTGGGTTGGTGCTAAGTTGGGTTGAGTGCTAAGTTGGGTTGGAGTGCTAGGATTGGTTAGTGTTGGGTTTTTGTGAAGTGTTGGGTTTGGTTGGTGCTAAGTTGGGTTGGTGCTAAGTTGGAGTTAGTGTAAGTTGGGTTGGAGTGCTGGGTTGGGTGGGGTGCTAAGTTGGGTTGGTGCTAGAAGTTGGGATGTGCTAAGTTGGGTTGGTGCTAAGTTGGGTTAGTGCTAGAGTTGGGTTAGTGCTAAGTTGGAATTGTGCTAAGTTAGGTTAGTGCTAAGTTGGTTTAGTGTTAGGTTTTGTAAGTGTTAGGTTTGGTTGGTGCTTGGTTTGGTTGGTGCTAAGTTGGGTTGGTGCTAAGTTGGGTTGGTGCTAAGAGTTGGGTTAGTGCTAGGATTGGGTTGGTGCTAGGTTGGAGTGAGTGCTAAGTTGGGTGAGGTGCTAGGATTGGGTTGAGTGCTAAGTTGGGTTGGTGCTAAGTTGGAGTTGGTGCTAAGTTGGGTTGGTGCTAGAAGTTGGGTGAGGTGCTAGAGTTGGGTTGGTGCTAAGTTGAGTTAGTGCTAAGTTAGGTGAGTGCTAAGTTAGGTGAGTGCTAAGTTAGGTTAGTGCTAAGTTAGGTTAGTGCTAAGTTAGGTTAGTGCTAAGTTAGGTTAGTGCTAAGTTAGGTTAGTGCTAAGTTAGCTTAGTGCTAAGTTAGGTTAGTGCTAAGTTAGGTTAGTGTTAGGTTTGGTTAGTGCTAAGTTAGGTTAGTGCTAAGTTAGGTTAGTGCTAAGTTAGGTTAGTGTTAGGTTTGGTTAGTGCTAAGTTAGGTTAGTGCTAGGTTAGGTTAGTGCAAAGTTAGTTTAGTGTAAGGTTTGGTAAGTGTTAGGTTTGGTTAGTGCTAAGTTAGCTTAGCACTAAGTTAGTTTGGTGCTAAGGTAGCTTAGTGCTAAGTTAGCCTAGTGCTAAGTTAGCTTAGTGCTAGGTTAGGTTAGTGGTAAGTTAGGTTAATAGTAAGGTTAGATTAGGTTGGTGCTAAGTTAGGTTAGTGTAAAGTTAAGTTAAAAGTTAGGTTGGTGCTAAGTTAGGTTAGTATTGTATCTGTCACGAAGTGTTCTTGGTAATGTTAAAAGTTATGCTGTGTTAAATTGGTGTGTTAAAAGTTATCTTGTGTTAAATCGGTTTAATGAATGTTATCCTATGTTAAATTGGTGTGTTAAAGTGTTGAGAGCTATTATAAATGATAAATGCTACATTGTGTTAAAATGGCGTGTTAAGCTACGCCGTGTGAAGTGTTTCCCAGTTACATCGAAGAGTGATGACCCGCGGTGCAATGGTCCCTTGTAACCTCAACCGTATCTTAGGCGGCACCTCATGCATTACCCTAGGAATTAAAAGTCAATAGATTAATCGTATGCATAAACAGCGTGGTACAAGAGCAATGGCCTTTGAACGGTATGGTGTACAGACAATGTGCCTTGACGGTGTAGGTAAACAAACAATGTGCCCTAGACAGTGTGGGTATCACAAACAATGTGCCTGGGCAATTGTTGGGTATGCAAACCAATGTGCTGGACGGTGTGGTATGCAAACAATGTGCCTGAACGGTGTAGGTGTCTGAGCAATGTGCCTGGACATTGTGTGGTGTACAGACAATGTGCACCATGACAGTGTGGGTAACACGACAATGTGCCCTAGACAGTGTGGGTATGCAAACAAAATGTGCCTAGACAGTGTGGGTATACAAACAATGGCCCCTGGACAGTGTTGGGTATACGACAACCTTTACTGGACAGTTTGGGTATGCAAACAATGTGCCTGAACGTGGGGTATACAAACAATGTCCCTGGACTGGTGTGGTATGCACTGAATTGCCTGGACAGTGTGGTATGCAAGCAATGTGCCTGAACAGTGCGGAGTGTATGACAATGTGCCCTGGAGCAGTGTGTGTATGCAAACAATGTGACCTAGACAGTGTGGGTATACAAACAATGTGCCTAGACAGTGTGGTATGCAAACAATGCCTGGAGACAGTGTGAGTATGCACACAATGTGCCTGGACAGTGTGGTATACAAACAATGTGAGAGACAGTGCAGTACACGACATTGTGCTGAGCGTGTAGTTGTCTGACAATGCTAGCATTGTGGGTATGTAAAGGCATGTACTGAACAGTGTGGTATGCAAACAATGTGCCCTTGGCAGTGTGGGGTATGCAAACAATGTGCCTGGACAGTGTGGTATGCACACCAACCCGCAGACAGAGTGTGGGTATACAAACAATGTACCTAAACATTGTGGGTATGCAAGCAGTATTCCTGAACGGTGTGGGTATACGGCAGTGTACCTGGGCAGTGTGTGCTGACAATGTGCCTGAACAGTGTGGTATACAGAACAATGTACCTGAACAGTGCAGGTATACAAGCAATGTGCCTGAACAGTGCAGGTATACAAGCAATGTGCCTGAACAGTGTGTGTATACAAACAATGTGCCTAGACAGTTAATGGGTATACAAACAATGTACCTAGTGGTGTGCAGTGTACAGCAATGTACACACAGCAGTGTGCCTGACAATGGCCTAGACAGTGCAGGTATACCAATGTGCCTGAACAGTGTGGGTATACAAACAATATGCCTAGACAGTGTGGTATACAAACAAGTACTCCCTGGACAGTGTTGTGTATGCAAACAATGTGCCTGAACAGTGTGAGTATACAAACAATGTGCCTGGACAGTGTAGGTATACAAACAATGTGCCTGAACAGTGTGGTATACAAACAATGTGCCTGGACAGTGCAGGTATGCAAACAATGTGCCTGAGCAGTGTAGGTATGCAAACAATGTGCCTGAACAGTGTGGGTATACACAGGCAATAGTCCTAGACAGTGTGGTATACAAACAATGTACCTGAACAGTAGTATGCAAACAGTGTGCCTAGACGGTGTAGGTTATAGGCAAACAACAGACGGTCATTGGGTGTGCAGACAGTGTGCACAGACAGTCAGACAGCAGACAGCCTGGACAGTTAATGATTACCAGACAGAGTGTGCACAGACGGTTGCAGATTGTGCAGACAGTGTGCCTGGACGGTTGTTGAGTTGTGCAGACAGTGGCACCTGGACGGTGTTGGTTGTGCAGACAGTGTGCCTGGACGGTTGGGGTTGTGGGCAGTGTGCCTGGACAGGTGTGGTGTGCAGACAGTGTGCCTGGACGGTGTGGTGTGCAGACAGTGTGCCTGGACAGTTGTGGTGTGCAGACCAGTGTGCTGGACGGGTTGACAGATTTGTGCAGGCAGTGTGCCTGGACGGTGCAGGTGTGCAGGCCAGTGTGCCTGGACGGTGTGGGTGTGCAGACAGTGTGCCTGGACGGTGTGTTGCAGACAGTGTGCTTGGACGGTGTGGGTATGCAAACAGTGTGCCTGAACCGTTGTGGGTTGCAAACAGTGCCTGGACGAGTGGGTGTACAGACAGTGTTGCTGCAGACGGTTGCGGGTAGTGCAGACAGTTGTGCCTGGACGGTGTGTGTGTGCAAGACAGTGTTCACGGACAGTGTGGTGTGCAGACAGTGTGCCACTGGACAGTTGTGGTGTGCAGAGTGTTTGGACGATGTGGGTGTACAGCAGACAGTTGTGGGTGTGCAGTGTGCCTGGACAGTGCTGGTGTACAGACAGTGACGCCAGACAGGTTGGTGTCAGACAGTGGCCCAGGACGACAGTGTATGGTATGCAGAGCCAGTGTATAGACAGTGCAGATGCAGACAATGTGCCTGAACGGTGTGGTATACAGACAATGTGCCTGGACAGTGCGAGTATACAGACAGTGTACCTGGACGGTGTGAGTGTGCAAACAATGTGCCCTAGACAGTGCAGGTATACAGACAGTGTGCACAGACGGTGTGGGTGTATGCAGAGCAATGTACCTGGACAGGTGAATTGTGCTAGACAGTGTGCCTGGACAGTTGCAGACAGTGTGACAGGTACACAGACGGTGCAGATGTCACAGACAGTGTGCCTGGACAGGTGTTGGTGTGCAGACAGTGTGCCTGGACGATTGTGGTGTGGGCAGTGTGCCTGGACAGTTGCGGGTGTGCAGACGGTGTTGGACGGTTGCAGGTAGTGGCAGTGTGCCTGGACGGTGCAGGTGTGCAGGCAGACAGTGTGCCTGGACGGTGTGGTGTGCAGACAGTGTGCCTGGACGGTGTGGTGTGCAGACAGTGTGCCTGGACAGGTGTGGGTGTGCAGACAGTGTGCCTGGACCGTTGTGGGTGTGCAGACAGTGTGCCTGGACAGTGTGGTGTGCAGATGGTGTGCCTGGACAGTGCAGGTGTGCAAGACAGTGTTGCCTGGACAGTGCAGGTGGTGCAGGCAGAGTGTGCCTGGACGGTGCAGGTTGTCAGTGTGTGCCTGGACGGTGCAGATTGTGCAGACAGTGTGCCTGGACGGTGCAGGTGATGCAGTCGTGCAGACGGTGCAGTTGTGGACAGTGGCTGGACAGTTCAGATTGTGCAGACAGTGTGCCTGGACGGTGTGCAGACAGTGTGCCTGGACGGTGCAGTTGTGCAGACAGTGTTGGCCTGGACGGTTGCAGGTGTGCAGACAGTGTTGCCTGGACGGTGCGGATGTGCAGACAGTGTGCCTGGACGGTGCGAGTTGTGCAGACCAGTGTGCCTGGACGGTGCAGTTGTGCAGACAGTGTGCCTGGACGGTTGCAGTTGTGCAGGACAGTGTGCCTGGACAGGTGCAGTTGTGCAGACAGTGTGCCTGGACGGTGCAGATGTGCAGACAGTGTGCCTGAGACGGTGCAGTTGTGCAGACAGTGTGCCTGGACGGTGCGGTGTGCAGACAGTGTGCCTGGACGGTTGCGGTTGTGCAGCAGTGTGCCTGGACGGTGCTGGTATACAGACAGTATGCCTAGACAGTACAGGTATACAAACAATGTGCCTAGACAGTACAGGTATGCAGACAATGTGCCTAGACAGTACAGGTATACAAACAATGCCTGGACAGGTACAGTTATGCAAACAATGTGCCTAGACAGTACAGGTATACAAACAATGTACTAGACAGTACAGGTATACAAACAATGTGCCTAGACAGTACAGGTATGCAAACAATGTGCCTAGACAGTACAAGGTATGCAAACAATGTGCCTGAACAGTACAGGTATGCAGACAATGTGCCTGAACAGTGTGGTATACAAACAATGTGCCTAGACAGTGCAGGTATGCAAACAATGTGCCTGGACAGTACAGTGCTAGACAATGTACACTGGAACTAGGCTGGTGCTGAACAAGTGTGCCTAGACAGTGGGTGTGCAGACAATGTGCCTGGAACAGTGCAGGTATGCAGACAATGTGGCCAGACGGTTATTGGTGTACGAGACGGTGACAGACAGGTGCAGTTGTGCAGACAGTGTGCTCGACGGTGCAGTTGTGCGGACAGTGGCCTGGACGGTGCGAGTTGTGAGACGGTGTGTGCAGACTGATTGAGATTTGTGCGGACGGTGGACGGTGCTGGGTTATTCTGGGGCAGTGTTTGGCACCGGACGGTGCAGTTGTGCAGGACAGTGTGCCTGGACGGTGCAGGTTGGTGCAGACGGTGGTAACTCTGGACGGTGCAGTTGTGCAGACCGGTGTGCTTGGACGGTGCAGTTGTGCAGACAGTGTGGCTGGACGGTGCGGGTGCAGACCAGTGTGCCTGGACGGTTGCAGTTGTGCAGGACAGTGTGCCTGGACGGTGCGGTGTGCAGACGGTGTTGCTGGACGGTTGCAGGTTTGTGCAGGCCAGTGTGCCTGGACGGTGCAGTTGTGCAGACAGTGTGCCTGGACGGTGCAGATTGTGCAGACAGTGTTGGCACGGACATTGCAGACAGGTGTGCATGACGGTGCAGTTGTGTGCAGACAGTGTTGGCCTGGACGGTGCAGTTGTGCAGACAGTGGTGTCTGGACGGTGCAGTTGTGCAGACAGTGTGCCTGGACGGTTGCAGTTGTGCAGACAGTGTTGGCCTGGACGGTTGCAGGCCAGTGCTGGACGTTGCAGATTGTGCAGACGGTGTGCCTGGACGGTGCGGTGTGCAGGCAAGTGTGCCTCAGGGACGGTGTGTGGAGCAGTGTGCTGGACGGTGCAGTTGTGCAGACAGTGTGCCTGGACGGTGCAGGTGTGAGACAGTGTTAACTGGACGGTGCAGATTGTGCAGACAGTGCAGACTGTGGTGTGTGCAGACAGTGTCACGGACGGTGCAGTTGTGCAGACAGTGTGCCTGGACGGTGTGGTTGTGCAGACGGTGGACGGTTGCTTGGTTGTGCAGACAGTGGTGGCATGGACGGTTGCAGTGTGCAGACGGTGTGCCTGGACGGTGCAGTTGTGCAGACAGTGTGCCTGGACGGTTGCAGTTGTGCAGACAGTGTTGCTGGACGGTGTAGTTGTGCAGACGATGTTGTGGACGGTGCAGGTTGTGCAGACAGTGTTGCTGGACTGATTGCTGGTGTGCAGACAGTGTGCTGGACGGTGCGGTGTGCAGGCAGTGTGCCTGGACGGTGCAGGTGTGCAGACAGTGTGCCTGGACGGTGCAGATTGTGCAGACAGTGTTGGCCTGGACGGTGCAGTTGTGCAGACAGTGTTGCCAGACGGTGGGTTGTGCGGACAGTGTGCCTGGACGGTTGCGGGATGTAGACAGTGTGCACGGACGTTGCGGTGTGCAGACAGTGTGCTGGACGGTGCAGTGGTGTGCCTGGACGGTGCAGTTGTGCAGACAGTGTGTGCCTGGATTGTGCAGACAGTGTGCTTGGACGGTGCGGATTTGTGCAGACAGTGTGCCTGGACGGTGCGGTTGTGCAGGCAGGGACGGTGCAGGTGTGGATTGTGCAGACAGTGTGTGCCTGGACGGTGCAGGTGTGGAGCAGTGTGCCTGGACGGTGCAGATGTGCATAGTGTGCCTGGACAGTGTGGGTATACAAACAATGTACCTTGAACAGTACAGGTATACAAAAATGTGCCTAGACAGTACGAGTTACACAAACAATGTACCTAGACAGTGCAGGTATGCAAACAATGTGCCTTGACAGTGTACAGGTATACAAACAATGTACCTGGACAGTGTAGGTATAAACAATGTACCTGGACAGTACAAGACTATACAAACAATATTCCTAGACAGTACAGGTATACAAACAATGTACCTGAGCAGTACAGGTATACAAACAACGGTAAAGCAGTACACAGAAATTATGGCTCCCATATGCCTCTGTTATCAGTATTTACAGTGTAATTCTACGACCCATGGCACAATACGACACCGTTCTGAAGACGGAAAGACAATATCGGTTTAACGACAGAGACAATTTTCAGTTAAGCGAGAGAGACAATTGAAGAGACAGAAGCAATATTGTAATGATGGCACAGTGGTGAAATTAACTTTGAGTGATGAGATTGAGGAGAGACGAGACCGAGGAGGGTAGGGAGATGAGGGAGGGAGAGATGAGGAGAATTGGGAGAGATGGGGAGGTGAGAGAGAGAGGAGAGATTGGGGAGAGATGAGGGAGGGTAGAGGGAGATGAGGGGAGGGAGTGGAGAGATGAGGAGAGGAGTGAGGAGAGATGAGGGGGAGGTTGAGAGAGATGGGGAGGGTGAGAGAAGATGAGGAGAGGGGTGGGGGGAGATGAGGAGGGAGAGGGATGAGGGGGAGGGTGAGAGAGAGGAGGAAGAGGGGAGTGGAGAGATGAGGAGAGGATGGGGAGAGATGTGAGGGAGGAGGATGGGGAGGGTGGGAGAGATGAGGAGTGGGAGGATGGGGAGGAGGGGAGGATGAGGGGGTGGGAGATGGGGAGGGTGGGGAGGATGGGGGAGGTGGGGATGGGAGGTGGGGAGATGGGGAGGATGGGGAGATGGGGAGGTGGGAGGATGGGAGGTGGGGAGGATGGGGGGAGGAGGGATGGGGAGGATGGGGAGGGTGAGGGGAGAAAGATGGGGAGGAGATTGGGGGGAGGATGGGGGAGGGTGAGGAGGATGGGGGGGGTGAGATGGGGAGGGTGAGGAGATGAAGAGGGTGGGAGATGAGGAGGGTGGGAGAAAGGAGAGGGTGGGGAGGGGATGAGAGGGTGGGGAGATGGGGAGAGGTGGGGAGATGGGGAGATTGGGAAAGATGAAGGAGTGGGAGAGATGAGGAGAGGAGTGGGGAGGATGAGGAGGTGGGAGATGGGGAGAATTGAGAGGATGGGGGAGGGTGGGGATGGGGGAGAGTTGAGGAGGATGGGGAGAATTGGAGGAGAAGAGGTGAAGAGGAGGTGAGGAGAGAAAGATGAGGAGGGTGGGAGATGGGGAGGGTGAGGAGGATGAGGGGAGGGTGGGGATGAGGGAGGAGTTGGGAGAGATGGGGAGGGTGGGGAGGATGAGGGAGGGGGTGAGGAGGATGGGGAGGGGAGTGAGAGAGAAAGATGGGGAGAGAGGAGTGAGAGAGAAAGATGGGAGGAGGGTTGGGAGGATGGAGGGAGTGAGAAGAGAGATGGGGAGGATTGAGGAGAGATGAGGGAGGAGGTGGAGATGAGAGGTGTGAGGAAAGATGAAGGGAGAGGGAGGGAGAGGATGGGGAGGTGAGAGAGATGAGGGAGAAGAGTGGGAGAGATGGGGAGGGTGGGAGAGGATGAGGAGGAGGTGGGGAGATGATGGGAGGGGGTGGGGATGAGGGAGGAGGTGAGAGGAGATGGGGAGGTGAGATGGGGGGAGGAGGTGAGGATGGGGAGGGTGGAGATGGGAGGAAGTGAGAGAAAGAGATGAGAGGAGGGTGGGGAGAGATGAGGGGAGGTGGGTGGAGATGGGGAGGGTGGGGAGAGATGAGGGAGAGGGTGGGGGGTGGGAGGGGGTAGGAGGGAGAGATGGGGAGAGGGTGGGAGAGAAGATGGAAGAGGGGTGAGAGAGATGAGGAGGGTGAGAAGATGGGGGAGGGTGGAGGAGAGACGACGATTGAGGAGGATGGGGGAGGAGGAGGATGGGGGGAGGGAGTGGGGAGGCGACGGGGGAGGGAGTGAGAAAGGATGAGGAGGGTGGGGAGGATGGGGAGGGTGGGGAGGATGGGGAGGGGGTGGGGAGGATGAGGGAGGAATGGGGAGATGAGAGGAGGGGTGAGGAGATGAGGAGGAGAGGATGAGAGGTGAGGAGAGGTGAGGATGGGAGATGGGAGATGAGGAGGTGAGGAGAGATGGAGGAGTGGGGAGGATGAGGGAGAGTGAGGAGACGGGGAGAGAGAGGTTACACAGCAGGAAGGTGGAGGTAGGTGCCGTTGTGGGTGGTGGTGAGGGGGGGAGGAGGAGGAGGAGGAGGAGGAGGGGAGGAGGAGGAGGAGGAGGTTACAGAGTCTCTCAGCTGTTGATGTTTTCCCAGTGTGTGTTTGTGTGTGTGTGTCTTGACCGGGGTTCTGCTGTGTCACGTCCACCGCTAGCCCACACAAACACACACACACACACACACATAGTAGGGCATTTTGTAGTCATTCCTGCCTACCACTTAATCTGTATAGCAGGTGTATATGTGTGTGTGTGTGTGTGTGTGTGTGTGTGTGTGTGTGTGTGTGTGGCCCTTGCCCCGCCCCGCCCTCCCTTGCCCGCGCACTTGTCAGCTCCAACCCTTACACCCACCACTCACCTCTGGACGCTGCTTGCCTTTCTTCCTTCTGCAGTATAAGCTTCATGAACACTTGAACTGGACTACAAACTTGCTCCTTCTAGCTCCCCAGACATCATTCGGTCATCATTAGAATACGTACTTCATTACTGAGGATATCATTCATTGATCACGGACATCATCATTCGGCCTGGGCTGCTTCATTCTGGGACATCATTATCTGGACATCAGGAGACTATCATTCAGGCTCACGGGCGCATCATTGAGGCTCACGAGACGCATCGCAGGCACTGGACATTCAGCTCACGTGGACCGCTTCACGGACATCATTTGGGCATCATCACGGACATCTTTAGGTGCTGGGCATCATGGGACAGGTCATTCGGCCCCAGACACTCCATCAGCTCCCCCAGACACCTCCTTCAGCTCCCCAGACACCTCCTTCAGCTCCCCAGACACCTCCATCCAGCTCCCCAGACACCTCCTTCAGCTCCCCAGACACCTCCTCCAGCTCCCCCAGACACCTCTCCAGCTCCCCAGACACCTCCTTCAGCTCCCAAGAACCTCCTTCAGCTCCCCAGACACCTCCATCAGCTCCCCAACACCTCCTCCAGCTCCCCAGACACACCTCCAGCTCCCCAGACACCTCCTCCAGCTCCCCAAACACCTCCTTCAGCTCCCCCAGACACCTCCTCCAGCTCCCCCAAAACACCTCCTCCAGCTCCCCCAGACACCTCCTTCAGCTCCCCTTCGTCATGAAACACGGGGGAGGGAGTCAAGAAGAATAAAGAGCCAGGAAGAAACAACAGGAAGAAGAGACATGAAGAGAGCACAGAGAGAGAGATCAAGTGAACGGAGGAAGAGACATGAAGAACACAGAGAGATAAGAGATCAAGTGAACGGAGGAAGAGACATGAAGAGAACACAGAAGAAAGATCAAAGTGAACGGAGGAAGAGTCATGAAGAGAACACAGAGAGAGAGAGAAAAGATCAGAGTGAACGGAGGAAGAGACATGAAGAGAACACAGAGAGAGAGAGAAAGATCAGTGAACGGAGGAAGAGACATGAAAGAGAACACAGAGAGAGAAGAGAGAAAAGTCGGAGACGGAGGAAGAGACATGAGGAGAACACAAGAGATAAAGGGGAAAGATCAAGTAGCAGACGGAAGAACATGAAGAGAACACAGAGAGAGAGAAGAGAGAAATCAAGTGAACGGAGGAAGAGACATGAAGAGAGAACACAGAGAGAGAAAGAGGAAGATCAAGTGAACGGAGGAAGAGACATGAAGAGAACACAAAGAGAGAAGAGAAAGATCAGAGTGAACGGAGGAAGGAGACATGAAAGAGAACACAGAGAGAGAAAGATCAAGTTAACGGAGGAAGAGACATGAAGAGAACACAGAGAGAGAAGAGAAAGATCAGAGTGAACGGAGAGAAGGAGACATGAAGAGAACACAGAGAAGAAAGATCAGAGTGAACGGAGGGAAGAGACATGAAGGAGACACAGAGAGAGAGAGAGAAAGATCAGAGTGAGACGTAGACGTGAGTGGGATTCTCAGGTGGACTTGACCAGCTCCTCAGAGTGAGACTAGACCTCTCAGGTGGCAGGTGGAGTGAGGTGAGGGATGGAGGTGGGGAGGTGAGGATGGAGGTGGGGAGGTGAGGATGGAGGTGGGGAGGATGGAGGGTTGGGAGGATGGAGGATGGGAGGTGAGGATGGAGGATGGGGAGGTGAGGATGGAGGTGGAGAGGTGAGGATGGAGGGTGGGGAGGATGGAGGAGGTGGGGAGGTGAGGATGGAGGTGGGGGAGGATGGAGGGTGGGGAGGTGAGGATGGAGGTGTGGAGAGGGGTGAGGATGGAGGGAGGGAGGTGAGATGGAGGGTGGGAGGTGGGGATGGAGGGTGGAGAGGTGAGGATGGAGGGTGGGGGGAGGTGGGGATGGAGGGTGGGGAGGGTGAGGATGGAGGGTGGGGAGGTGAGGATGGGAGATGGGGAGGTGAGGATGGAGGTGGGGAGGTGAGGATGGAGGTGGGGAGGATGGAGGGTGGGGGAGATGGGGATGGAGGTGGGGAAGGGATGGAGGTGGGGAGGTGAGAGATGGAGGTGGGGGAGGTGAGGGATGGAGGTGGAGAGGTGAGGGATGGAGGGTGGGGGTGAGGATGGAGGTGGGGGGAGGTGAGGATGGAGGAGGGTGGGGAGGATGGAGGGTGGGGGAGATGAGGGATGGAGGTGGGGAGGATGGAGGTGGGGAGGTGAGGATGGAGGTGGGGAGGTGAGGATGGAGGGAGGGA